CTGAGCCACCGAGTTCTGAGGAGTGTGAGCCAGCTTGGCTCCTACCTCGGGGCTGCAACCATGGCGCCAGGGCAGCACCAGGAGGCTTCGGGCACTGAGGGCTGGGCCATGGCAGTCAGCTTCAGCCGTGGGATGCTGCAGTGATAACCAAGACCCTGCATCCAAAACCCAGTGGGAAGAGGGAGCCCTAGGTCTCTGCGGCTGGCAGTGACAAAGCGCGTCACCATGGGTCAGGCAGCTGCCCTGGGCTGGGCACCGGAGTCCAGGCTTGGCAGTTCTTGTTCCTGCAGCGCTGTCACTTTTTCAAAAGCTTCTGAGTGTGTGGGAGTGGGGGTGGGGAGGGTACCCTGGGCCGCCCCGGATTGAGAACTGCAGACCCTGCTCCCTGCGGCCAAGGCTGGGGTCTGTGTTTGCTCTTTCAGGCAGCCTCAGCTCTCCCCATGCTGGCCACCCAGTAGGTTCTTAATAAAATTTTCACCTGCTTTTCACCTGCTGCCTCTTGAGCAAATGAATGGATTTGCTAAACTTCCTGTGCAAGTTCGTTCATTCAGCAAACTGCTGTGAGCCCTGGCTCGGGCTCCAGGGGCGCCCACAGGGTGTTTGGGAGGGGACAAGGGAACAAACAGCAGACTCCCAGGCAAGGCACCTTCGATATTTTTTCCCTTGTTTTTTATTTTATTTTATTTTATCCCATTCCCCATCAGGCCCCCTTCCCTCCCTATGTACAAAAGCTTTGCTTCCATATTTCCTTCTATTTTCACTTTTCTTCTTTTCCTTCCTCCCTCCCTCCCTCCCTCCTCCCTTGTTCCCCTTCCCACTTGAACACTTCCTTCCCATTTCCCAACAGCCATTGGACATCTCAGTCCTTATTTCCACTTTCAGTTTCCCATACCAGAGAAACAATGCGCTATTTAAACATGTGGAGGCATATTTGATATTAAAGGTTTTTGGGTTTTTTTTTTGGTACCAGGGATTGAACTCGTGTCCTTGCGCTTGCGCAGCAGGCAGCGAAACCACTGAGCTAAATCCCCGGCCTATTTATTTTTATTTTTTGAGACAGGGTCTCCGCCATGTAGCCCAGGTTGGCCTCCAACTCATGGCGCTCCTCCTGCCTCAGCCTCCGCAGTGGTGGGATCACAGGCGTGCATCACCACGTGAGGCTTGAACTTATATTTGTTTTTTATTTTTTATTTTTTTTGGTACTGGGGATCGAACTCGGGACCTTGGGCTTGTGAGGCAGGCGGTGAAACCACTGAGCTAAATCCCCGGCCCAAAGTGTGTTTTCAATTGCAAAACTTTCAGCAGGGTGTGGTGGCACAGGCCTGTAAGCCCAGCAGTTTGGGAGGCAGAGGCAGGAGAAGCACAATTTCAAGCCTAGCCTGGGCAACTTAGCAACTTAGTGGGACTCGGTGTCAAAATGAAACAAGAAGGGGCTGGGGATGTAGCTGTGTGGAGACCCTGGGTCGCAGCCCCAGAACGCCCCTCCCCATCTCATTTCAGAGGTTCGGAGTGGAGAGCAGAGTGAAAGGCAGACCCTAACCCCTACACACATGCCTCGGGGCTGCTCCCTCCCTCCCCCGCCCCCGGAGGCCACCAGCCAGAGGCGCCCTGCACACTTGCAGTGTGGCCAGTGTAACTGAGAACCGAGTGCTTCATTTCACTCGATTTTATATTTATATACATTTTATTTTTTTCCCTGGTACCAGGGATCCAACTCAGGGCCTTGCACTTCTGAGGCAGTCGCGGCACCCCTGAGCTAAATCCCTGGCCCTATATGTGTTGTATTTAAAACTTTGATGTCCCTAATTGCCTCTCTACGGGTTTTATATTGTAAGATACAACCTGAAGTGTTCCTGTTACAGCTTACCCTTATTTATCTGTTTGTACCGGGGCTGGGCACTGGGCCCGGGCCTTCCCCCTGAGCTGTGTCCCCAGCCCTTTGCATATTTTATTTTGAGGCAGGATCTGACCAAGCTGACCTGTGTGATGTGTGCGTTTCAGGGTGCTGAGGAATTTGTGCAGTGCAGCTCATTACCACCCATCTCCCGGGCTCCTCATCTTTCCAAACTAAAGCTCTGCCCATTGAGCAAGGATTCCGGCCTGGCCCCGCCCTGCTCTGCCTGTGCATGGGCCGCCTCCTACAGACCTGGCTTTGTGTGACTGGCTGTCTCACTTGGCTTGATGTGGTAGTGTGTGTCTGTCAGGATTCCCTTTTTGTCTGTGTGTTTGCTTTTTTCACACAGGGTCTTGCTTTGTAGCCCAGGCTGGCCTCAGACTTAGTGATCTTCCTGCCTCAGCCTCCCCACTGGTGGGTGGAATTACAGGGAGGCACCCCCACACCCAGCTCAGGAATCCCCTTCTTTAATTCAACACATTTTGGGAACCTGTTCATTCTCCTCTGAGCTGTGTGACTTGGGCTGCTCCCCTGAACCTGGTAGTGCAGGCCTCTCCTGAGCCCTCTTCCTTCTACTGGGTGTCCTCGAAGTGGAGGGGCCGGATCATGTGCTCATTCTATTTTTATGTTTGGAGGCCCCGCCAAACCGTTTCCCAGGGCTGCCATGCCTTCTGCATTCCTGAAGGTCCTGGCCAGCGGCCTGTCCTCCCTCTTGACAGCAGCCATGCTGAGATGGGAGGCGGCTTGGACTGTGGCTTGGACTGAGTTTCTCCAGCAGTTACTCAGGCCAAGCACCTCTGCATGGCATATTGGCCACTTGTAGATTTTCTTTGGAGAAATACCTGTTTGAGTCTTTTGCCCTAATTTCTTTCATTTGAATGAATTTGAACTTAAAAGGGCAGAGCCACGCCTGGCACCTGACAGCAGCTGGGTAGGACCCCCCAGGACTGTGCGCCCCAGCATCCACAGTAAACTGCAGACACTGTCATTTCAGTCCTGTTTCAGGGTGTGTCTCTTTGGGGGCCGCTTTGTACTGAAACACACCCCCAGCCCCACCCTTCCCTTTTTTTTTTGGTACCCGGGATTGAACTCAGGTCCTTGTGCAGCAGGTGGCGAAACCACTGAGCTAAATCCCCGGCTCCACCTTTCCCTTTTTTGAGTCAGGGTCTTTTGAAGGCTGACCCTCAAACTCAAGATCCTCTTGCTTCAGCCTCTCAAGAGTGCTGGGATTACAGTGCCGCCACACTCAGCTGTGATGTAGCTCTTAAAAGGAAGATTCTTTAAGAAAAGCAAACAAAAAAACCCATGCTGCTGTTATGGAACCCAGACTCTAAACCTCATTGCTTAGTCTCAGCTGATGTTCGAGGAGTGCTCAGAATGTGTCTTTACACAGCTGCTAGGTTCATCTGTATCTAGCTGCTTGCCCCTCACGATGCGAGCGCGATATTTTCTTCTGTCCCAAAAGTTTGCCCATTCACTTCTTTGAGATTACTGTTGAAGCTGGGCATGGTGGTGCACACCTGTAATCCCAGGACCTGAGAGGCTGAGGCGGGGGGATCGCTGTGAGTTTGAGGCCAGCCTGGGCTACACAGTGGGTTCAGGGCCAGCCTGGACTACCTAGCGAGACTCTCTCAAAATAAAAAATTATTGTTGAAACATAAACATACAGATAAAGGGCCGGGGATTTAGCTCCTTGGTTCCAGTGCCTGCCTTGAAAGCCCAAGGTCCCGAGTTCGATCTCCGGTACCAAAAAAACCCCCATACAAATAAAAAACTCAAAAAAGCCAAGTGCAATGGCACATGCCCATAATCCTGCCGGTAATTCCCGCACTCTTGAGGGTAAGGCAGGAAGACTGCAAGTTTGAGGCCAGCCTGGACTATATATAGCAAGACCCTGTCTTGAAAAACAAACCAAGCCGGGCATGGTGGCGCACACCTGTAATCCCAGCACTCAGGAAGCTGAGGCAGGAAGATCGCCACAAGTTGGAGGCCAGCCCAGACTACATAGCAAGACCCTATCTTAAAATAAAATAAACAACAACATAAAAACAAAGCAAAATAATTAAAACCTCTTAGAAGTCAGGTGCAGAAGAGCAAGCCTGTACTCTAAGCTACTCGAGAGGCTGAAGCAGGAGGATCATTTGGGGCCAGCCTGGGCAATCAAGTGAGATCCTATTTCAAGAGGGCGGAAAAACCACACACACACACACACACACACACACACACACACACACACACACTCTCACAGAGACCTCTGGAGAATTCACCTTGGGCCCCATTTGGAGAAACCCATTGGCCACCACCCCCTCCCATCCCTGACTAAGTCCTTAGAGCTGGGGTGAATGAGGAGCCCTGCATACCTCCCGGCTGCCTGGGCTGCAGGTGGAGAGGGTCTGCAGTCTGGTTCTCAGGACAGCTTCTGTTTAGACCGTCCTCCGGCCTGGCTGCCTAGAGGAAGAGGGGAAGCCACTCAGATCCCCGCTGTTCTGTTCCTCGAGGCTCTGTCTGTCACTTCCTCAGCCTTGAAACATCCCAGGCATTCGTGAGGTGGCGCAGCCCCGACACCCTGTCTGGTGATGCTATCCCAGTGTTCCTGCCGTACTTGAATGGCTCTGAAGGGATGTAGTAGCCAGAGGGGCTCTGTGGGTCGTGGCTCAGGGTGGGGCCCAGTTGCTCTGCAGGATCTGGGACACTTCACTAACCCCCACCCTGTGCCTCGGTTTCTGCAAGTATAGAGGCACGACTGTAGAAGCCTCTACCTAGTGGAGACTTCCCGAGGGAGAAGTGCCCGGTGGGTACTGGGCCAGCAGTCAGTGTGGTTTACTGTCACCACCCTCAGGTTCCGGGTGTGCAAATTCACCTGCTCCATAAAATGGCCCTTTCTGGTCCTTTGCAAACAGATGTAGAATAGTGAAAAAAATCTGAGTCCCCTGACAGTCTGCCTTCTCATTCAGTGGCTTCACTGTTCGGGGTGTCCCCACAGTGCTGAGGCGCTTTTGGTACCCAGGCGCACGGGGCTGTGATGCCTCGGGGACAGTGACAATGAGCTGTGAGCTCAGTGAGCAAATCAGCAGTATGAGGTGTGAACCGAAACTACAGTGCATGCTTCTTGTTTTAGGCACCATTTTAATCCCCTGCTTCGACCACATTTGTCCCACCATTCGTGTCGCTTTCTGCAGCCGTTCTGGAGTCTTCTTTCCTGAGTGTCGTGGGTTGCACTTGCCACGGCAGCCTCACTGTCCTGAACCAATTCAGAACGTTTCCCTTTCATGTCATTTTGAGTTTGGGGACGAGCCGGAAGTCACCTGGTGGCAGCTTGAGAGCATGAGGTAGATGACACAGCGTCGTGTTGTCATGCGCCTGCCTTTCCGCCGGGTGGCACTCGGTGGCAGCATTCACCCCAGTTGGGACCACACGTGGTAAAGACATGAAAGAGGCCCGCAGAGCTGCTTCACGACTGTGGCAAGAACGATGGATCCATGTGTTCCAGGCGAGGGGGATTAACGGCGACGTGTCTTCTACTGTAATACAATTTTTAGAAATGTAAACTGTCACCAGTGACCTATTGTGGTCACCCTGTGTGTACTGGAGAAGGCGTCTTTAAACAGAAACACCCAGAGACTCGGGAACAGACTGGGTGGTTAATGAGAGTATTGCCTCTAACACCCTGGGGCTCCATGTTTGCTAATTCAGTGCTTGTGGCAACGTTAGAGGCCCCGGCTGCCCGAGGCCTGGCTTGTGTGGCTGAGCCTCAGTGCCAGGACTGTCCACTGGGAGGTGACACAGTCTGTGAGAGTCCCCGCTGTGCACCTCATGTCTGCCAGGACCGAGTGCTGTCTCCTTCCCCTCTTCCCCGCCCCCCCCCCCCCAGTCTACCTCCTTGCACAGCCCCGACCTCAGTGCCGGTGCCCTGACCTCAGTCTGCCCTTCCGTCTGTCCCTCCGTCACTGAACATGTCTTTCCTGCTCACTCAGCCTCTTATTCTCTCCCTGCAGCTGGCCCCCGAGAGGACGCTGTCCAAGTCCCCAGCCGGGGGCCCCGCGTAGACCTGGAGTGGATGCCCCCTCCTTCCCTTCATGATTCGCTTGTAGCGCAGGTAACTGGGAAGGGGGTCCCGTCCCGTCCTGGGGCAGCCTCCTCTCCATGCACTTCCTGGGCCCACCGTGGGCATGGGGGAGAAGGCCTGGCCCCTGGCCCTGGGTCCTAAGGGCCTCCCTCCCCCAGCCCTCCCCTCCAGACGCTCGGCCGGCTGTGCCTTTTCTGGCTCCCTTCAGGCAGGTTGTCAAAGGAGGGTCTCATTGGCCACAAATCTGGTGACGCAGAGAGAAGCAGGCACCACTGGGGCTGCTGAGGAGCAGGGCGGTCACCTGTACGGCGTGTCCTGTCTGCGCCTTGTGGTGGGAGGGGAGTGTGGGAGCGGGCGTGTAACACGTCCTGGGTGGGTGTGTCTGAGCGGGGTCAGCTGCCCCGGCGCACAGGGGAGAAGCCCCACGTCCGCCTCCGGGCCCGCCTGAGACCGCCTTTCGCAGAGGTCGGGTGGTGATGAGGAGGTCACTGCCAGGTGCAATCAGAGCGCTTTCCGGTGAGGGGCCCCACAGAGCTGCGTGCCTGTGTGTGAGAGGTGCCCCACCTGGTCCGCACGCCCGACCTCTCGGACATGACTGCCTCACCGTGCGTGCGTGGATGGGGAGGTCTAGAAAGGAAGGACATGGGTGGGTGGAGGCTTGGAAGGATGGAGGGAGCGGGATGTCACACAGGACAGCAGGTGCCTGGGGCAGTTGGGTGGTGGATGTGGGGTCCTTGGGAGGTGGGTGGGGTGGGGCCAATGGACAGACCCAGGCAGCACCAGTCACCTCGGGAGTGAAACGGGGCGAACAGTATCCCTCCCCCGGATCGAACTCGCTAACATTTGTGACGCACTCAGACTGTGCTGGCTGGGTCAGGCGTTCAACAAATGTTAGCCTTCCTCATCCTCATCATTCTGACGGCGCGCCGCCCGGCGGCCCCTGACAGCACCCACCCTGTGGACCCTCCCCTCGCTTCTGCCTCAGTTTGCAGGCTCCCTTCCTTGAGAGCCACACTGCCCAGGGCTGGGGGGGACCCGGGACCTCGCACCCTTGGCCCTTTCTGCTGCCCGTCACCCTGTCACCTGAAGGACAGACCCCTGCACGTGGGCTCTGGGCTAGGCCCTGCGTGCGAGGAGTGGGGTGGCCAGGTGGTGAAGAGCGTGGCTTCCAGGCCACGGCCACCTGCTCGCTGGGAGACGGAGAGAAGCCGCTTCAGTGCCTCCCGCTCCTCACCTGCAGAGCCGGGTGGCTGGCGCCTCCTGGGACTCTCTGAGGCCCCATGTGGCCCCGTGAGAGCTGTGCCTGAGAGCTGTGTGCGGCAGGCTCTCCTGCTTTGGCTGCACTGTCCTCGTCAGGGGCTGGGAGCTCGGGTGAGGACAGGAGGGCAGGGAGCTGTGTCTGGTCAGGAGCCTCTGTCGGACTCAAGGGCACAGAAGCCCCACCACTTCCGGGAGCTCCCTGAAGGGTGGGCCGGGCACACTGCCACCATCTAACCTTGTCTCCCTCGCCCTCTTCCTGGCCCCACCCGGCAGTGGCGATGGATGATGAGGATGGGAGATGCTTACTAGACGTGATCTGGTGAGTAACGGCTCCCGCCTCCGTCCCAGACGCCCGCCCTCCCGCCTGCCCAGCTCACCGCCTCAGTGCCCCTCTCTCTTCTCTTCCAGTGACCCTCAGGCCCTCAATGACTTCTTGCATGGGTCGGAGAAGGTGAGTGCGGCAGGAGAGGTGCTTCCTCCTTGGGGCTGGGTTCTGTGCTGAGCAGGGCACATGGCAGATCCCTCCCTTCACGCCATATGCATTTCCTTAGTCAGTGAAGAAGCCAGAAAGTAATAAAGGCAACAGTGAAAAGCACCGTGCAGACTGTGATAAGAAATAAAAGTCAACCCGCATGGTGGCACACTCCTGTGATCCCAGCACTCGGGAGGCTGAGCCAAGAGGACTGCCAATAGTTCAAGGCCAGTGTGGGCTCCATAGTGAGTTCAAGGCCAGCCCAGACTATATAACAAGACCCTGTCTCAAAAAACACCAAGGGGCTGGGGATTTAGCTTAGTGGTTCTGGCGCCTGCTTTGAAAGCGCAAGGTCCCGAGTTCAATCCCCGGTACCAAAACAAAAAAACACCAAAAATAAGTCACCTGTATAGGAAGAGAGGGTGGCTCAGGGGTGGGGTGCTTACCTAGCATTCACAAGTCCCTGGTCCAATCCCCAGTGCAGGAAAACAAGTATAAGAGAAAGCGAGTGGGGTGAGGGCTCCTTCAGTGCGGTCAGAGGGTGAGGAAGAGGTGGAGCTGCAGGTGCCACGGTGCTCCCAGCAGGGCAAGGGCAGGAGATGCGTAGGAAGTGAGACAGGAGTAGAAGAAGCCGCCCAGTGACTTGGGCCTGGGGTGCTGGGGACGAGCTGAGTTTTTACCCTGACAGCAGCCTGCATGGGTTCTTAAGAGGCACAGGCGGGTGAACTGTGGCCCTGGAGACCGGAACACAGCCGGGCCGAGCAGAGGTCTGGTGGGTGTGAGGAGCTGTGTGCGAACTGCAGCTGTGTGAGAAATCGTCCCCATGCACAGCGCCTCACGCCGTCTGACACAGCTCTGGCCTGGGAGCTATCGTGATGTTACCTTCGAGATGTTGGGGGGGCCACAGCCCGCCGGGAGGCACATACCATCCCTCATGCCTCATTTTGCCGCGGTTGGCAGGAGGCCTCAGTTCCCTGCCACACGGAGCTCACCGTGGCACTGCCTGGGTGTCCTCAGGATGCAGCGGCTGCCACTCCAGAGCGAGGGATGGGGGCATCTCCAGGGTCACAGTCATTTCCCTCACGTAGAGTCCACCAGCAAAGGGTGGCTAAGCCCAGGCCGCCCTTGCGAGGAGAAATGGCTGGTAATTCAGGGACCAAGGCAGCGGTGTCCTGGGCCAAGACAGTGCAGGCAGTGGAGGAGGTGGGGGCACCCAGACCCGCCCGTGGCCGCAATGTCATAGGAGCAACCCTGCCTGAGGGACCGCCCTCTGGCCTTGGGGTGAGCCACCGAGTGGCTGTGCTGTTTGGGAGTCCAGGGCAGGGTCCCAGAGTCCAGTGGGGCTGTTGGACCTCCCAGCTGGGCTTCTGGGAGACCTCTGGGGCAGCCTGCGCCAGGGATAGGGCTGCCGGGTACTGTACGGGTGCTGGAGATGCCCTGCTAGAGGGGTGCCCAGGCTGGGGATGCCTGGCCGGAAGCCTGCAGCCGACCCCTTCCTTGAAGCCTCCTGGCAGAGGTTTCCGTGTCCCTGCCCCCATCCCTACCCTGGTTTTTCTGTCTCCAGTTACACAAGGTCGGCTTCTGCTCCGAGCCTGGGCTGCCCCGCTGACCTTTGACCTTGGGGGGTGGGTCTCGTTGCAGCTGGACAGTGATGATCTCCTGGATGCCCCCGGGGAGGCCCAAAGTGCCTTCTATGAAGGTCCTGGGGTAAGTGGCCCCGGCCCCAGAACTGGCCCAGGTTGCCCTGGCTCAGTGGCAGCCAGTGGGAGGGAGGCCTGGGTCCCAAGGGGCTTTGACAGGTAAGGGACAGGGTGGGGCAGAGTGGGACCCGCTGTGCAGCACGGTTTTGGGGTGCTGAGGCCAATGCCAGCTCCCAGCGCCCCTGGGGACACTCAGCCATGGAGCGCGTGACCTGAGGGGGGAATCTCTGCAGTTGCAGACCTCAGACCAAAGCCCAGAGCAGCCTCTTCCCAGTCCACCACTGTAAGTGTCAATCACTGTGTACTTACTCTGCACCTGGCTCCTTGTGGCGATTGTCACTTAGTCCTCAGAGCAACTCTAATATTAGATTCAAACATCATAGTGTAGGTGATTAAATTCAGAAACACAACAGTGGCACCTCCTGTAGTGTGATTACGTTTATAGACCCAGCAGCAACATTGGCCTAGGCGTTTACTATTTTATGGTCATTGTTCTAGTCATAACTGTCGTCCTTTTGTAGCTGTGGGGTCCCTGGCTGAGTCGTGAGTTCTGCCCGCCGGTGATATCTTTCCACACCGATCTGGGGCTTACTGGCCTTTTCCTCGGGCAGTTAGAGGCACTGCCTGCCTGGCCTTCAAGGTTGGGGGCTGAGAGGAGCCCTGTCCCACCAGCCCCGTCCCCTCTCACCAGCTGGGACTCTGGGCCTCCCCGTCTGGAAGCCAGGCTGGGAGCATTGCCCACCTCCCTGAGCTGCTGTTGACATCCCAGGAGGCAGTGATGGTGACCGTGGCATCTCTCACACTCGTGCCACGTGCCAGGCAGTGCTGTGAGCTCTGTGGATCAGGATCTTTCCAAGTGCAGGATTCCTCCCCCCGCCTCCCTTTTTTTCTTTTGTGGTTCTGGGAATTAAATCCAGGGCCCTCACACTGAGCTACATCCCAGGTCCCCCCCGCCCCCATTATTTTTTATTTTTAAGTCAGGGTCTCACTAAGTTGCTCAGGCTGGGCTTAAATGTGTGATCCTCCTGTCTCAGCCTCTCAGAGGGCTGGAATTACAGGCCTGCACCACTGCACCTGGCTTCCAACTGCAGGTTTAGATCCATTCTCTGGGCAAAGATCACTGGCTGAGGCACCCCAGCCTCAGTGTGGCCTGTGGAGCGCTGGTCAGTTGTGCATGCTTGTATTTCTAGGTGCGAGACCTGGATCTCCAGGTCTCCAGGAGCAGGAGAAACAGTTGAGAAATGCTCCACACATGGTGCATTTGGCACCAGCGCTCAGATGGCAGCTGCTGCCACCATCATTGCTGTGGTTTTTTGTTTTGAGACAAGGTCTCAACAGGCTGCCTTGAACTATGTAGCCCAGATTGGCCTTGAACTCAGTGATCCTCCTGCCTCAGCCTCCCGAGTGCTGGGATTACAGGTGTACACAACGCCACCCAGCATTGCTGTGGTTTTTAACCCAGCCTCTGTCCTTCATTGGACACCTCTGGGGCCAGGCGTGTTTTAGAAATGCAGAATTTTTCAGATTCTGGAATGGGGGTAAATTATTTTTATTGCCTTCTGAGCACCACTGGGGAGACTAAGGTGGGATCAGACAAGCTCCAAGTCACACAGCCAGGCGCTGGGTTGGGTCCCAGGTCCCGTCACTTCCACAGGGAAGGTTCCTTCTCGGACATGGCTGTTTTGGCAGCAGGTTTCCAAGGGTCCTGGCAGCTGAGGCCTGAGGCCAGGTCTTGGCCAACCTCACTTCTTCCCTTCCTCCCACCCTGGCCTCCAGCTCCATGTGCAAGAAGCTTCCGGCAACCACCTGAACCCGGAGCCCAGCCAGCCGGCCCCCAGCGTGGACCTGGACTTCCTGGAGGATGACATCCTGGGCTCGCCCACCACGGCGGGTGCCGGTGGAGGGGGCGGGGGCGCCGACCAGCCCTGCGACATCCTTCAGCAGAGCCTGCAGGAGGCCAACATCACGGAGCAGACACTTGAGGCTGAGGCCGAGCTGGACCTGGGCCCCTTCCAGCTGCCCACGCTGCAGCCCGCAGATGGTGGGGCAGGCCCGACAGGCGCTGCGGGGACGGCTGCTGTGGCTGCAGGACCCCAGGCCCTCTTCCCCGGCAGCGCTGACCTGCTGGGGCTGCAGGCCCCGCCCACAGTGCTGACCCACCAGGCCCTGGTGCCACCCCAGGACGTGGTCAACAAGGCTCTGAGCGTCCAGCCCTTCCTGCAGCCTGTGGGCCTGGGCAACGTGACCCTGCAGCCCATCCCGGGCCTCCAGGGCCTGCCCAACGGCAGCCCTGGGGGCGCTTCAGCCGCCACTCTTGGCCTGGCGCCCATCCAGGTGGTGGGCCAGCCCGTCATGGCACTCAACCCACCCACTTCGCAGCTCCTGGCCAAGCAGGTGCCTGTCAGTGGCTACCTGGCCTCAGCGGCCGGCCCCTCGGAGCCAGTGACGCTGGCATCGGCTGGTGTGTCCCCCCAGGGGGCCGGCCTGGTCATCCAGAAGAGCCTTCCGGCGGCCGTGGCCACCACACTCAACGGGAACTCAGTGTTTGCAGGGGCAGGGGCCGCCACGGTGGCGGCCAGCGGGGCAGCATCAGGACCGCCGCTGGCAGTGGCCCCAGGCCTGGGCACGTCACCTCTGGTGCCAGCGCCCAATGTGATTCTGCACCGCACACCCACGCCCATCCAGCCCAAGCCCGCCGGCGTGCTGCCCCCCAAGCTCTACCAGCTGACACCCAAGCCCTTCGGCCCTGCAGGTGCCACACTCACCATCCAGGGTGAGCCGGGGGCACTGCCGCAGCAGCCCAAGGCCCCACAGAACCTGACTTTCATGGCAGCCGCGGGCAAGGCCGGCCAGAACGTGGTGCTCTCGGGCTTCCCAGCGCCTGCCCTGCAGGCCAACGTCTTCAAGCAGCCCCCGGTCAGCAGCGCAGGCACAGCGCCGCCACAGCCCCCGGGGGCCCTGAGCAAGCCCATGAGCGTCCACCTGCTGAACCAGGGCAGCAGCATCGTGATCCCTGCGCAGCACGTGCTGCCGGGCCAGAACCAGTTCCTGCTGCCTGGGGCGCCTGCCGCCGTCCCCCTGCCCCAGCCGCTCTCCGCCCTGCCGGCCAGCGTGGGCGGCCAGATCCTCACAGCAACAGCCCCTCACCCGGGCGGCCAGCTCCTCGCCAACCCCATCCTCACCAACCAGAACCTGGCGGGCCCGCTGAGCCTGGGCCCGGTCCTGGCCCCCCACTCGGGGCCCCACGGCGCTGCACACATCCTCTCGGCTGCGCCCATCCAGGTGGGCCAGCCGGCGCTCTTCCAGATGCCTGTGTCGCTGGCCGCCGGCAGCTTGCCCACCCAGAGCCAGCCGGCCCCCGCTGGCCCCGCCGCCACCACCGTCCTCCAGGGGGTCACGCTGCCCCCCAGTGCCGTGGCCATGCTCAACGCCCCCGATGGGCTGGTGCAGCCGGCCGCCCCTGCCGCCACCACCGGGGAGGCCACGCCTGTCCTTGCGGTGCAGCCTGCTCCCCCGGTGCCCCCTGTGGTCAGCACCCCACTGCCCCTGGGCCTCCAGCAGCCGCCGGCACAGGCCCCGCAGGCCCCTGCCCCGCAGGCCACCGCCCCACCTCAGGCCAGCACCCCCCAGCCCAGCCCCGGCCTGGCATCCAGCCCAGAGAAGATCGTCCTGGGGCAGCCTTCTGCAGCCGCCACAGCCATCCTCACTCAGGACTCCCTGCAGATGTTCCTGCCCCAGGTACTGAGGCCAGCCGGCCGGGCGAGCAGGGGAGCAGGGATGGGGCGGAGGGGACCCCAGAGGCAGCCAGACAGCCGGGAGGGAGGGGCCCCGCTGGAAGCACCTCAGACATGCACAGGTGCTGTACCCCTGGGATGCCCTGGGGTGAGGGACCCAGCCAAGCTGGCCAGGGACAGATGGGTGAGCTGGCCAACGGATGGACAGGAAGGGGAGGAGAGGACTGGCCACCTGACGGGCAGGGAGAGGGACCTCTGGGAGGGAGCAAGACCTGGGTGGCTGGACAGACAGATGAGATGGGCGCCAGGTAGAGCCGAAGACAGCAGACCGGGCAGGGCTCAGAGTAGAGCGAGGTCCTCAGGTCCTGGGATCTCGGGCCCCTGGCCAACTGGCAACCCATTCTCTGGAGTCCAGGAATGTCAGTGGGGGCACAGGCTCACGGTGTGGGTGGGGCTGGGGCTGTGGAGGTGGCCTTCTGACCCCGTGCGGCCGCCGTTGCAGGAGAGGAGCCAGCCGCCCCTCTCCACAGAGGGCCCCCACCTGTCCGTGCCGGCCTCAGTCATAGTCAGCGCCCCGCCTCCTGCCCAAGACCCAGCCCTGGCCAACCCCATCGCCAAAGGAGCTGGCCACGGCCCTCAGGCCAACAGCCAGGCCTCCCCGGCTCCGGCCCCCCAGGTAGACAAACTGCAGCAGCCTCTGTCCTCAGCGCAGACCCGGCCTTGTCCCCATCCCCGCTCTCTTCCTCCTCCTACCTTGCTCTGCCCTGCCTGCCTCTGTCTTGCTGACTTGGGAAGCGGTGCTTTCCTTGTCCCCTGTCCCACTGCTGTGTTTCCTGAGTATCTCCTGCTGATGATCATGCACGCGTGAGACCAGGACCAGCTCTGGGGGGTCTCAAGCTAGGCAGGGAGGCAGGATGTACATGGCAGAAGCTGGGTGTGTGTGGTGGCGCACACCTGGCATCCCTGCACTCAGGAGGCCAAGGCAGGAGAATTGCTGTGAGTTTGAGCTAGCCTAGCCTACATAGTGAGACCGTCTCAAAAAAGAAAAAAAAGAAGAAGATGCACATGGCAGAATGAGTTACCTCTGCAGCTAGCACTTTCACACCCGAGACCCTAAGCGTTGCGACCCAGTGGTGCAGAGTTTGGGTGGCCCAAAAGCTGGCAGTGGCAGGAAGCTCTCTCTCCTGAAACTCAGCCCTGTGAAGGCCTCCTGAGGTGGCTTCTCACCTGCCTCCTGCGCCTGGACGAGCTGAACCACTCTGGCTTCTTTCCTTTCTATTTGAACACAGCTGCTGGCGCAGGCTGCCTCGGGTTTGTCTGCCTTGTTCTCCAGTTGGCTCTTGTGCACTGTCCTGCTGTACGGATGCACGGTTGTTTGCCAGCAGGACCTGCTGCACTCTGAAGTCACTCTTGGTCCTTGGCTATTATGAGCAAAGCTGCAAAAAAAGGCTCTGTTACGTGCACCATTCTGTAAGATCTTTCTTTCTTTCTTCGAGACAGGGTCTGTGTTGTTCAGGCTGGCCTCAAACTCACTGTGTAGCCCACCCAGGCTGGCGAGGCGATCCTCCTGCTTCAGCTTCCAAGTGCTGGGATCACAGGCGTGCTCCACCACACCCAGCCTAAGCTAAGCTCTTTCAGGGGAAGCTGCTGGGGCTGAGGAAACATGCGTTGTTTGTATTTCTGACAGAAAGGTGCTCGCTGCAGCCTGTGGAGTGTGAGATGCTTTGTGCCTATTGCCCACAGTGTTGTCGGGAGACTGAACTCGACTCCTCTGATAGGTGGGAGTGGTGTCTTGTGTTGGTCCAGTATGTATTTGTTTTGTTGTGAATGAGGCTGGGCAGGTTTGCATAGATGGAGAGCTATGTGTGGACTCTGTTCCATGCAGCTGTCTGTTTCTGCCCTTCGCGGATTTGAAGTTTGGCTGGCTGGTCATGTTCTTGTCGATTCTTAGAAACTCTACGTCGTGAAAGAGGAAGCTTTTCTCTCATATCCGTGATAGCCACATGGGGGGCTGTCCTCTTACTCGGAGGGGGTCACAGACTCCCTCCATCGGGAAGGACCAGTGGGTGGATGAGAAGGGGATGCAGTGACACCAGCCAGGGGTGCGGAGTAGCCTGGGCTTCTGCCTTGGAAGAGCCTGGACTTCACTTTCAGACTCCACCTCTGACCGTGGAGCTGGGGACTCACGCTGCACCCTGAAGGCAGACACGGGTATGGGGCGGGGTAGCCTGCATGTGGAGTAAATGAGTTCCTACTGGGTAGCGCAGGGTCAGCATTGATGTCTACTGTGTTTTGTTTTGGCGGCACTAAGGATTGAACCCACGGCCTTTGCACTGAGCTGTGTGAATACCCCCTTTTTAAATTTTGAAACAGGGTCTTGCTAAATTGCTCAGGCTTGGATTGAACTTGTGATCCTCCTGCCTCGGCCTCCCAGAGGGCTGGATTACAGTTGTGCATCACCACACCTGGCTTGCTATTGTTTCTAGCTGCTGTGATGGAAAGGACATGAGCCTGGTCCTGAGTCGCCAGAGAGGGACATGAGGCCAGGATGGCGCCAGATCACCGGGAGTGGGAGTGTGGGGCCATGGTCCCTGGCCTCAGAGACTGAAGTTGGAGCTGCTGTTTCTGGTCCCCAGCGAGTGACTTCCTCTCCCAGCTGCCTGTCCTCTGGTGTGGCTCGGGGATGTGTGAGTCCCCACTGCAGGCACTGTGGTTGAGAGCCAGGCAGGTGTCCCTTTGTTCCCGTAGAGACAGGCAGCAGATGCTGTGTGCCACTGTCTTCCCCAAGGCAACTGGCCACCCCTGTACCCAGTACTTCGTTCTGTCTCAGATGCCGGTTTTCACTTTTTAAAACATACTTGGAATCCCAGCAGTGTGCGAGGCTGAGGCAGGAGGGTGGCAAGTTTGAGCCCAGCCTGAGAGAATTAGAGATTCTGTCTCAAAGTGTGCAAAAGGGCTGGGGATTTGGCTCAGTGCAAAGGCCCTGGGTTCAATCCCCAGCACCAGAACAAAAACCAACCCCGAGACAGCCCTGGACGTGCAGGCCGAGCAGCTTGCTGCACCTGCTCCTCTGCAGAGCCTACGGGACATCTGCTGCCTGGCCAGCTGTGTAGGGCCTGTGGACTGTCCTGGTGGCCCCACTGTGATGTCAACCCCGGGAGGGCAGGGACGGGCAGGGGCAATTCCGAGGGAAGGCAGCTTGGTAAGGCGGGAGCACACGAGGGCGGAGGTGTGGAGGGGCTGTGGTGTGCATCGTGCATCCTGAGCCTGAAATTCTCTCCTGTGAACCTCACCACAGCCTCGGGAGAGAGAAGGAAACAGGGAGATTCGTTTCCCTGGGCCGCCCCGCCAGGCTTCTGGCAGCTGTCGGAGGGAGCTCTGCAGGCGCCGTGCACCTCTGTGACATGGGCTCCCTGGAGCAGTGACCCTGGAGGGCCCAGGCAGGCCCAGTGCCCTGAGCTCCTCCAAGTTGCCACACCTGCGGGGTGGGCGTGTGATGGGGTGTGTGGAAAGCACTGCTGTAGGCCAGGACACTGTGCACGCTCTGTGTCCCACACTGTGCAGCCTCTGACCTCCTCCCACACAGATGGACTGCCTGGGCGTGTGCACACCCCGTCTGTGTTGTCCTCTCACCTGGCTTATTTAACACTGTGCCTTCCAGCGCTGCCTTGCTGTCATCTGACACCACCCTGCATAAGAGTTCCATCCTGTGTCACTGCCTGGGACACGTATAAGTGTCTGTCACCAAAACAAAAGTTTCATAAGTAATACACCCATAGTACTCTGTGTGCAGCACACTCATATTTTTATTCTGTGTTTAGTGGGGTGTTTTTATTTTTGTTTTTGCAGTACTGGTGATTGAACCCAGGGCCTTCGCACTGAGCTACATCCCAGGCCCTTTTTATTGTTTGCTGTGAGATGGGGGTCTCACTAAATCACTGTCACACAGGCTGGCTTTGAACTTGTGATCCTCCTGCCTCAGGCTCCCAGACTGCTGGGATCGCAGGTGTGTACCACACCTGCCATTTCTAATGGGCACCCTGTGCAGTGAGGGTTGCAACGTGGGAGTGAGGAGGGGGCTCTGGGAATCCAGCGCTGCTGCTTCCAGACTCTGTGACCTCCTGTGCTCCCTCTGGCCTCAGTTTCCTAACCTGTAAAACAACAGTGGTGATCACACCAGCTACTTTGTAGTTGTGAGGCTTAAATAAACTAACAAACAAGTCCCTTGTTGAAAATGGCATAGTAGGGCAGGGGATGTAGCTCAGTGATGCCACGCTTGCCTGGCAAGCACAAGGTCCTGAGTTCAATTCCCAGTACTGGAAAAAAAAAATGGCATAGTATTTTTCCTTTTCCTTTTTCTTTTTTTTATTAATGGTGCTGGGATGGAAGCCAGGGACTCTGCATACAAGGCAAGCGCACTGCTGAGCTGCAGCCCAGCCCAGTGGCGTAGTATATATTCCCCTCCGAGGCTCAAATCACCTCCAGGTTCCCTACACTATCTGATACAGCCTGGCAGTCCTCAGGAGCCTGAGGCAGGACGATTGCCAAGAGTTCAAGGCCAGCCTGCACTAAATAGCCAGACCCTGTCTCAAAAAACAAAACGAAAGTAATGTAAACACTAGGTAAATAGTTGTTATGTATTACTTAGGGAATAATGACAAAGAAAGTTGGTGAATGTTCAGTACAGGTGCAGTTTTTGTTTCGGTTTTTTTTTTATTGTTTTGAAACAGGGTCTCGCTATGTAGTTCAGGTTGGCCTTGAACTCACTATGTAGCCCAAACTGACCTTGACCTTGCACTGATCCTCCTGCCTCAGCCTCCCAGTGCTGGGAGTACAGACCTGTGTCACCATGGCCAGCTTGTAGTAGTGGGGATTTAAAACATTTTTTTATTAGTACATATTTATAGTACATAATGATTGCATTAATCATGGGGAGTTGGTGCATGCAAATAGCACATCTTAATGTTTGTTTGTTTTTTGAGCCAAGGTCCTGCTTATGTAGTCCAGGCTGACCTCAAACTCATGGCAATCCTCCTGCCTCAGTCTCCCCAGTGCTCTGATTACATGCATGCACTACCACACCTGGCAGCACATTTTAATTCTTATTTTTTTCATACCTAGGATTGAACTCAGGACCTTGCACATGGTGCCACTGAGCTACATCCTTGGCCCCATTTTAATTCTTAATTCTCCCTCTCCCACATCTCTGGGAACCTATCTTTTTTTCTTTCCTTTTCTTTCTTTCCTTTCTTTTCTTTCTTTTCTTTCTTTCCTTCTTTCTTTCTTTTTTTGTGTGTATGTTTGTAGCACATAATGATCACATTCCTCATAGGGGATATTTTAAATTTTGAGACAAGATCTCACTAAGTTGCTAATTTGCCAAGCTGGGCTCAAACCTGCAGGCACGCACCACTGCCCGCCATCTTCCCCCATCTGTAGCTGGGGCTGCGGTGCCGGCCGTGCCCACTCACTGTGGGGCGTTTATCCAGACCCCTGTGCCTGACCGCGGAACTTAGCTTCCCTTCGCTTCACAAACAGCACTTCTATAAATGCCCTCCCACCCACTCAGAACCTACCTGCAGGGTAAAATCTAGAAGTGCAGGAGCGGGAGGGCAGCAAGGGGAACATTTCCTGGGGAGGCTTGGGTGCCTCCTGCAGGGCTGGGCACACAGCTTC